CCCACCCCCCCCCCCCCGCATAATTTCTTTTAAAAAATGAAAAAAGTTTAGCCTCCCGGACTCCGAAAACCAAAACAACACACACACAGACACACACACCCACGCACGCACGCACCCACACCCCTTTTCTGATGGCAGAGCGGTCCCGCAAAACTTCGCGGGAGCCCAGGGGTGAGGAAGAGGTGAGCGCGGCGAGGGGCTCACGCCACACCGGCGGAGACTTTGCACGGCTCTGTCAGGATCTGGTGGCATCCCAGAGTGGTTGCTTTTTTTTTTTTTTTTTAGCTGAATAATAAAAGCAATGAATCATAGAAAGCAATTGTTATTTCTACTATGATGACATAATTTCTAGGTTTTGTGGACAGAATTTGGCAGCATCCAGGCACCGGATCTAGTTTTTTTTTGGTGCAGTGGTGCCAGGACATATCAAGCTCAGGATTTCTGAGGACTTCTTGAAGAAAGTGAGCTTTCTTTTCTCTGTATAGAGTGGCTGGGGGGGGGGGGGGGGGTGCGTCCAAAAACTCCGCTTTTTCTGAACTGCCAAAATGCACCAAAGCAGATTGTGTGGTTTCATATAGCAGCTATATTTGTCCTCTCTTTGAGCACTGAATTCCAGGTATCGCAGGAATCAGGTAGTAAATTTAGGTATTCATGACGCTGTCTTGCTGCGAGATAGGAAGTTTCAGATTTTTATGATCTGATGTAGTTCAGCAATTAACAGGCAGAGCCCCAAGCTAGCAAGTCCAACTTTGCCCTCAGCCCTTTCTGAGGGTTTTCTTTATACCTAAGGGTGTAAAGGCAACTGAAGAAACCTGCTTTTGCGTAAGTTGCCTGCAGTCGTATTAACAATATTCAGGTTACTTCTTCTATACTACTTTGTTTTGAAAATTACAGTTGTTTCGCTACACTCTATTTTGGAGCATATTACTTTCTGCCACAACCTTTTTTTTTTTTTTTCCCCTTTCTCCTCCTTTCCGATCTCCCTATTCATACTCACTCGCTACTTGTCCTGTCCAGCCAAGGAAGAGGGAAGCACCATGTTCCCACCACTTCTGTCCTTCCCATACTGCCTTGTCAGGGAAGATGTCTACCACCAGCAGCTTGTTTTCTGTGTTCTTACTGCTTCTGTTTCCACACATGCACCCCAGCACACCTGGAATTACGAGACAGTAATGATATTCTAAATGTGGTATAAACCTATAATCATTTTATTGTGTTCTTGGCCAAGTCTCTGAGTTGCTGCTCCTGTAAGCCCCTTTTGTGGTATAATAGGGGAATAAAATTCTACCAAATGCTACAGGTATAAATGAAATTTCCTAGATAATGAGGCCATCATTTTCTTATTTATACTGATGCCCAGACTAGAGCAGCTGTGGAGCTGGGGATGATGGGCCTTGTGGGAAGGCTGTGGCTACAGATCTGTCCCTGAGAAGCACGTGGCCACTTTAACCCGTGGACCAGCAGAACTGATGAAGCTACTGCCTCCAGTCGTCCATCCCACCCTGCTGACCAGCTCGTCAACCAGCTCCCAAAGTGCCAGAGTTCACTGTGTACTCTTTCTAAACCGAAAGCCGTGATGGATTGGCTTATCTTTAAAAACAGTGCACTAAAAATTGTTGGTGTGTCAGTCAGACAAGCTAATTAAACCAGCCCCAACTGAAGTTTCCAAGGGACCACAGACCCACTGGGTATTAGGTACCACCTGTGAAATCTGCACTGCTGGATCCCATCTTGCGCTCCCCTCCACCATAGCCTGCACCTCACAGGCTGCTGGCACAGCACCGTGGCCACCTTCCAGCACACGCACTTCCATGGCCACAGATTTGGCACCCCAGTTTACGGAGCCGGAGGAGGTCAGCACCCTGCAACAGCCGAGCTCTCCGTGCTCCCACTTGGGCTGTAATTCCAAGAGAAGCCGTGCATTAAAGCTGTATTGCTTGCTGTTACTCCTCACACCACACGCCTCTTCCTTCCCTCCTCCCCCTATCTGGCCCTTTCACACATGCTGGGGAGGAAAGGAAGAGGAAAGCTATTTTGAAGCCCTCTTTATCCTCCTCTCTGTTCATCCACTGTGCTGAGTGGTACTCAGGGAAACTTCATTAACTATTAAGAGGTAGATGCTTACAAGAAAGGAAAAAAAAAAAAAAAAAAAAAAAAAACCCACATATCTACTGGCAACCCACTCCAAGGTCTGTGTGCAGAAATGCAGTCTTGTACCGTCACCAGTCACACCCATCTTACATGTAAACTGGTGCGGCCACAGTAATTATTTTGTAATTTTACATGCTTGTCCAAAATTCTTGCAACTTTTTAAATTTTTTTTTAAATAAAGTTTTTATGTTTTAACTACTATTTTCAGAAAACAGTACTCTTCAATACCTTTTTTTAAAAATAATCCTTTTAGAAAACTAAAAGGTAACCTCAAAATCACTTTATTTTTTCGTTGAAAAGACTGAACAGTTTTTACCAAATTGAAAATATTTTTTTAAATGTGCTGAATTTATTTTACTAGAAAAAATTGCTTAAAAAATTCAGCTTTTCTAATGGTACTGCTTTAGAAGCAAGATACTTGTTTTCTTTTAGACAGATATGTTCAATTACACTATAAAGCTTCACTATATATTGAAAATGATATATTATTTCTATTTCATAATGACAATTTATACTTCACACACTTATCTGAAAGATGACAATGAAATATATATTTCTTGCTTGATTTGACACACTATGGAGCTACAAATAATTGCTGCAACATAAAAAATAGAAGAAAATCCAGACAGGCAGAGCAAAGAGAAGATTTGATAAACACCGGTTTCTCCTGGAAAATGTGAGAAGAATTTAACCACATTTTCAAATAAAGGAATAAACCATCATAATCCAGTATGATAAAATCTAAATTCAAAATAAAATAGAAAAAAAAATATGAACTGACTTGATAACAAGACAGAGAATTACACTCAAAAATGCTTTATGCTGAAAAAATAAGCCATTTGGACACCTTCATAAATTATGCTTAAACTAAAAAAAATCCTTCAGAAAAAGGATAGTCACAATTGAAATATAACAGGCAAGTAAATTTCAAAACAACATTAAGTTAAAAAAAATCCCACTTGTTTTTCTGAAATTGTTTAGCCTAACCATTCCTTCCAGGCATTTCCCCAGTAAATGTGATGTACTTATGGGCCTGATATACAACAAAAGGGATGCTGTCAATCCAAACAACTGTTGAGCAGCAACTTTTAAAACATAGTCTATAGCAGACTCAATAAAATAACAACTAAGTATGTGATTGACTACAGCAAAACCATGAAAACCTAATGAGATTTCTGTCTGGTAAATTAACCCCTGACCACATTTTAACCTCCTCATGCTGACTCTTTGAGTGGGTTAATAGTGCTTATTTTATCATGAAGCTACTGGGATCCAACAAAGTAGTATATAATAGCAAAATTAAAAAGAAAAAAACAGAGAAATGAGTGGGGCAGATACTTGCCCAACAGCATGGCTTTCTGTAAAGCCTTTGATTCAAATGCAGCATCCAGGACTGAACCTTAAATTAGGAAAAAGGAAAGTACCAGTAGGAAGAAAACATATGATGATTATATCCATATGCTAAACTATCAGATATGGAATTAAAAGTACATGCAAACAAGTATCTTCAAAGAAAGAAGGAAAGAAAACAAAGAAGTAATCCCAGTTTGGCTGTTTTTAACATATGGCTTAATAACACATTGCGTACACCATTGTAATTTAAATCTAGCATTGCACAAACCTAGAGGCCTCCATAAGTAACTGCATTTAAATGCCCATTTACCTGATAATGCCATGCAAGGCAATTTTCAGTAAACGTTTATGTACTAGAAAATTATGCTAGCCAGGAAAATGAAAATTAAGGTATTTCGCAAACAGTGCAAGAAACCAAAAGCCCAAACAAATCTTTTATTGCAGAAAGGTGAAAAGTAAATTTCGTTTAATAGTATTTTCAGCCTTCGTCATAACTAAGACTTGAAACTTAGGGTTGACTATAAAAGCT